TGGATGAAACATTTATCAACAACATGAACCTGGTTTAGTTTGCTACAAATATAAACAAATGTAAACATTATGGTGTAGATAACATATATTTACAAGAATAAATTATATGATTATTGATTACAATAATACAGAAGAAGGAACATATGGAGAAAACTAATGGGGATAGACCTAGCTAATATGTGATAACTGCTAAATTTTCAGAAATTGATTATTGGTTGTCGGAGAGGAGTGTTATATATCAGAAACAGAGATCGAGCAAGAAATTGCAATAGAACTGTATGATCATTAAATCACTTCTCTTCTTTCACTTGATACAAAAATATATCCATTTTTATAAGTAAAAAACAAATCCATTTAACTGTATGATCATATCATATAAAGTGTATGTATTTGGAGACGCACTTATATGGTAGGGTAAAATGGTGGTTTGTAGTTGTAAATGGATCATAGAAGTGAAATATACAAAAAGACAGCAAAACAAATGTGGGTCTCTTAGAAAAGATCCCAACGTAGAGAACATAAATTAGATGTCTCTTCTTTATTGGACACCAACCCAGTTCTGCACACCTCTTTGTCGTTCGTTCCATTTCCTTATTTCGTACTGATCAGTGATCACCATGTCACGACTCAATGATTTTTATATATTTCATTTTTGTATATATATATTGGTGTTTATAAGCTTTAATTTGTTTCTGGGTACAACGGAGTTTGAATCATTATGGAATTTAGTACATATGCATGCACGGTAAGCTGACTAATAGTGAGTTATAGTGACCATCATCGAACTGACTACCGGCAAAGATAATATATATGTACCTTAGATGTGTGTTTGCTAGAAAAGAAATAAGGAAAAAACTTTAGTCAGAAACGGAAAGACGATACTAAATGTATCATTCAAAGCTAGCTAAGAATTCGACGGGGACCATTTCTTGATTTACTTTCTAACAAAGATATCAACTCCTCTGCAACTATAAGCTTTTCAAAATTTAAATTATGTTACATGGAAATCCATGTGCGACGACTAGTCCACAAATTTTGCAACACGTAAGACTGATATAAGGCTCAAATTCTTATTGTCAAGATTGGACAAATTATTTACTTACATTCTCAATATCTTTGGTTGTGGAGCTTAGCGTTATATATCGAGTAAACACATACTATTCTCTTTTCAAAAGTCAAAACTATTCGAACTTAAACGCAAGTGTCAAGAGTTGATAAGGACTTAATATATAACACATGGGAACATTAACTTAGTGTCTAATAAAAAGAAGACAATGTCATTGTCTTCTCAAATTCGGTTGTCCTAATTTTAGGGCAAGACTATGTATGACTCGATGGGCGTGTCGTTTTCTCTTCAGTTTAATTCAAACCATTGACTTGTATGTTACGTAACTTTCCAAATAAACCAATAAACTAAACTTACAAGAAACGGGACCTTTACTGGGATTAAAAAAAAAACAAGAAACGGGACAATAAAACAAAAATATGTTACTAAAATCAAAATTACATCTCGATTACTCAGTATAAATATTTTAAACCGTTTAAATTTTATGATTAATTTAAAAGTCCGGTAAACATAAAGCATAAAATTTCGAGTGTCGTTGTCGATTTTGTCGTCACAGTTGTGAATGCGTCGTTTAGAAGTCTCCATCACACGTCGCGTTCATTTTCCTCGTGCCAAACCACGAGGTACAACTAACTTACATGTATCAAATTAATTGTGCCTGGTTTGGTCATTTGATTATATTTAAGGATTTTTAATTTGATGGTTGAAGCCTAGTGGAGATCTATTCAAAGGCTAACAAAGATGATTTAGACGGATTTACGCGTTTTTGAAAGAAACCATGGACAAAGAAAAAACAAGGGTTTTTAGTAATAAAACCCCTCAACTAAAGATGAATCGTAAAAAAAACCCTCAACTAAAGATTTAGTGAAATAAACCCTCAACTTTAGTTCCGTTAATATTTGTCACCCTCCATCACGGAATTTTAGACGGAGGGTGATATACGTTAACAGAACTAAAGTTGAGGGTTTAATTCACTAAACTTTTAGCTGAGGGTTTTTGTTACCATCCATCTTTAGTTGAGGGGTTTTATTACTAAATACAGTTATTATCATTTATTCATTATTTAAGAATCTTAAAATTGATTTATAAACATGAAAATAATTTATATTTTTTATATATTACTTTATCAAATTTATAACCTATTTATAAAGTTTTCTCATTTAATACTTTTTATAAATTATTATTAAGGTTTAATGATGATTTTATAAGATTAAAAATGTGATTATTCGTCATACTACAAAAACATGAAGTAAAACAAGAAAAACTTATTGATTAATATGGTAAGAGTATAACATATTGGTTCAGAAAAATAATCCTACATTATTTCTTTTGAAATATAAAAAAGTACAAATCAAGCTGAAATTGTTTAAAGAGTAGAAAAATGCCCTTGTCATATTTTAAGTAACAATGTTGAATTTCTAATTTAATTAAATATCCTCAACACTACCTACAACTTTATATAACTTAGAAATCTTAATTATTTGATATTTTACAGTATTAATATAAGAAAATTGTATGTGTTTCCTTCTTTATAAGGCTTTATCGTTTTACTTCGTAATATCAAGAAAAATCATGTATTATTCCACCCTACGAAATAGTAGACAAAAGTTTATAAAATCATCGTTAAACCTTAGAAATGGTTTATAAAAATATTAAAATATTTACTAAGCTTTATAAATAGTTTAAAAATCTGATAAAGTAATATATAAATAATTATAAATTATTTTCAATGTTTTGTAAGATTCTTAATAATAAATAAATGATAACAAAGATTTTAAAATATTTAATCGCATTTAGTAATAAAACCCTTCAACTAAAGATGGATCGTAACAAAAACCCTTCAACTAAAGATTTAGTGAAATAAACCCTCAACTTTAGTTCTGTTAACGTATATCACCCTCCGTCTAAAATTCTGTGACGGAGGGTGACAAACATTAACGGAACTAAAGTTGAGGGTTTATTTCACTAAATCTTTAGTTGAGGTTTTTTTTTACGATATATCCTTAGTTGAGGGGTTTTATTACTAAAAACCCAAAAAACAATAATATAAAGAGTTAACTTGCTATAAATAGAAAAAATGTTGATAAGAGAAAAAAATAGTTTCAAACAAAAAAATGTGGAACTGTTTAATAAAAGTGAAATGATGGTACCCACCAGGGTTGTTGTTGGAGTAAGTTCATGAATTTTAGTGTAGTAGTAATTTATAGGCATTTAAACTTTTTAACTTTTAGACGGTTAAGTAGATACTAGATAAGTGTAATCTCAGAATTAAGCTATACCTTTTGAAGATAATTTAGCCAAACATTGAGAAATACAAAAAAAAAACAAGTCAGTAAAAATATAAAGGCATGAGCTCATGTAACTCTGAAATAATACCGTATCAGTACAGCCCAAAGTCAAAATTGGGCCTCAATTCGATTTACCTTACTGTAATATGGGCCTTATAGAGGTTATATCTTACATGTCCGCCGAACCCAATCCGAATATCATAGCTCCATATGAGGTACTATGCAGCTTCTCATGATAGTTTTTTCAAGCTCACATCAAGCATTTCAGTGCACTTTCTAAAGCAAATATCAGATTCAGCTAGATTCAATTCTTTTTAAAAATACTTGCGTTTTCAATCAAGTGAAAAAAATAGATTACTAATTTAAACGTTGGATCATCTTTAAAAAAAATTCACACGAATCTTATATATTAAAACAGAAATCATAACTTGATTTCATGTGTGACTTTTTAAAAAATGGACTATTACTAGAAAGTTATGTTACATTAACTCATTTATAATCTTATCATTATTATAGTTTATAATATACTTACCAATTTGGTTTTGGAAATTACCCCACACCTTCCAACTTAGTCACACAAAATATGTCAATAGATATAAGTTTAGGAATCTTCTATTATTTATAAGGAAATATGTCAATAATAGTTAAATGCATGCACAATATATTAACAAAAATCACAGATTAGTAATATGAAATATTTATATACCTTAACAAAATTTACACGCTATATATATTAGATAAATTTATTTCGATGTAAACTTTTAAAATTATATTGTTTAAAAAAATTGTTTAAAAAATTATTTTTTTAATAAAATTATTTATAATATTAATTTATGAAGCTATAAGTTTAGTTTTTAGCAAAATTTCTTTGAAATTTATATTATCTTTGCAAATTAAAATACACTAATATTTAATCAAGTTCTATTTATATTATTTTATCTAAAAATGAAATACTAATCTAACAAACAATAAAATATAGAAGAAGAAACAAACACATGTTTGAAAAACATGTATAATATAGAAAATTTGAAACAATCTATTTAATTAAAACGCTCATTATATAATATTATTATGTTTGAAAAACATTTACTATACATATCGTAAATATGTGATTATTATAATATATACCAATTTACAAGTGAAAATAAATTGTTTATATAACTAACTATAAACGAAAACAAACACACACGCGGTTGCGCGGATCAAAATCTAGTATCTTTTAAGATTCTTAGCAAAAGTAAATAAATATCTTCATAAGATTAACATATATCTTCTAGAATTTTTTTTTCACTTCATGTTCAAACGTATCACTTTGCAAAGATGAAAGATCGGACAAATATGAAACAAAAAAAAAGTAAAATTAATCATTTATTTTTTATTTAAATTTAACAAAAGAATCCTATAATAATAAACGAAAAGGTGTGAAAAGAAGAATATTGAAAAAAAAAAGTGATTTTCTCTGTGTCGTCTATCAGTCTATGACTAATGATGACTCATATAACAGACTGGGCGTTACGGAAAAATCGCGAACGTTTCAAAAAGGGGGCAAAACCGTAATTTCAACATCAGAAAAAATACCGAACAAGAAGAGTCTTGCTCTTTAATAATAAAAACCTCCCCCCACTAAAGCAGTTATAGGAGAAGAGAGAGCAGGTACAGGTACAGACCTCCCCCAAAATTCAATTCTTCTTTTTTCGAAATTTTAATTCAAAAAGAAAAATGGATCGATCGGAGGAGCCGTTACCTTTCCCATCAACCACCGATTCCGATGAACTTTCAGCGTTCTCTGCCGGAGCTTCAAGCGGTGGCGGTGGAGGAGGGATGAAGAGCAGCAAAGTGAAAGGACCTTGGTCTACGGAGGAAGACGCGGTGCTTACGAAGCTTGTGAGTAGGTTAGGTCCAAGGAACTGGAGTTTGATCGCTCGTGGTATCCCTGGACGTTCTGGCAAATCGTGTCGATTGCGTTGGTGTAATCAGCTTGACCCTTGTTTGAAGCGTAAACCGTTCTCTGGTTAGTTTGAAACAAAACCTCTCGGTTTCGACCGGTTAATATCTATTGATCAGATTAGTGTTTGTTATTGCTTGATGATAGATGTTTTGTTTTCTTGTGTGTTTTCTTTTATGTGTGGTTTTGAATGTGGGTTTAGTTGAAGGTTTTGTTATTCTGATGCAATTTAGTGTAAATGTCCTGAGCATATGCCTCTAAAGGTGTAACGCCCCGACCTGCCAAGGCTAATGTCTACCACGCCCGCCCGCTTTTTCGACTTGTGGGCCCCATTCCATGTGATGGCCGGGGCGTTATAGAAGCATTGGCTTATGATCCTGAATTTTTTAAGAAAATTACATAGATATATAGGTATAGGTTTTCAAATTTGTAGAAAAAAAAGATTTATTGAAACTTTACTAAATCGTCTATAGTCTCCAAAATCTCAGGGTCGGCTCTGGCTCTGTGTAAATGTGAAGCTATAAATCTTGAAGAAGTATCTTCTTACTAATGTCAGAGATATAGATAGTCTCTTTGTTACTATGAAGCATACAAAAGATGAAGAAGTACATGTTTTTATTATTCCTTTAGGTTTTGGCTTTTTGAAATTGATGTTTTGGTGTTTGATCTCTGTTGCAGATGAGGAAGATCATATGATCATCTCTGCTCACGCCATTCACGGGAACAAATGGGCCGTGATTGCTAAACTGTTACCGGGAAGGACAGATAACGCTATCAAGAACCATTGGAACTCAACTCTTAGACGTAAATACGCAGATCTTTGGAAGAATAATAGTCACTTTGTGGCTAATCAAGTTACTACCGCTTACATCAAGAACGAAAACGTCGAACAAGATTTGCCTCAAGTAGAGATTATTTCACAACCAGAGGTTCCACAAGTGGTTGATGTTACAATGAGTGATGAGCCTACTACACAAGTTGATGATGTTACAATGGATGATGCATTAGCCAATGAGCCTCAAGAACAAGCTCCTATAGAGAGTAGCATTCCTGTGTTTCGCCCGGTGCCTCGCGCTGGCGCGTTCAGGGTATATAACCCAACCAGCCAGAGAAATGGATACAGGGATCAGAACGTGGTTCCATGTGAAGGACCGTTGATTCAAGCGGCTAAACCTGACTCATTAGCTGGTAAATTTCTACAATCTCTTTGTGGAGAACCTAACATACCTTCAAAATGTGGTCACGGTTGCTCTACTCATCCAGCTGAACTCGGTAAGTCGGTATTGGGAGCTGAGTTTGTGGATTACGAAGAGCCTTGTCCTGTTTTTAACCAAGAACTGATATCTATAGCTACTGATTTGAACAACATTGCGTGGATAAAGAGTGGTCTTGACAATACTATTGTCAGAGAAGCAGAACAGAGTTTGAAGATGGATCGTTTCGGTTTCAATGATGATCCTCGTAACAAGTTTTCTGGAATGATGCCTAGACAACATTTCTTCTGTGCAAGAAGCTGAAACTCAGATGTTTTTTTTTTTTTTTCTGACATTTTGATTTGGAATTTGATGGAAAGAGAGATTACAAAGAGAAAAAAGGAAGAAGGCTTGCTATATATTTCTTGATAATGTCATTTACAAGCACTTTTCTCCTTAGTTTTTTTTTTACATAGTATTTACAAAACAGAGTATGAAGACCAATTTACAATTTTTTTAAAAATATTCTTGAAATGTCTTCAATTTTTTATAATTCAGATTCTTCAAAATCTTCAATAGCTGTGACTTTAGAGGACTTGAGATTCCATGAAGCTGTGCTAACTTTCAATGGAATCATCATGGGACTAGTAAAGTCTCCAAAACCAAACTCACTTTCTTCAGTTTCCTTGGGACACAAGTCACCTGGAGGCAAGAAGAAATCAGAAGACAAACCCTTCACATTAAAACCCACTTCTTCAATCTCCCAACTCTCCTCCATTGTAGTCTTTGAATGACTCTCTAAGCTCTCATCAAGCCTCAGCAACGATACACGTGTTTGTCCTTTATGAGCTATCTGAATCCCATCAACGCTCTTGTAATCTTGGATCACTGTCTCAGAGGTGGTTTCCCACAAGACTACATCTTCATCCTCAGGACCAGTCTTTATCCTTACAAGATAAGTGTCCTCTAATTGAACCAAAAGTCCTGTCCTCTGACTAAAACAACCCCACACTGTATGCTTCACTGTCTCCATACCTCTCTTGCTTCTTGATTTAAGCCCTGAAGGCTGAGTTTCAAGCTTAAGCACGAAGCAATCTTCATCGTTAACCGCTTTTTCACCTACACAAACAGATCCAGCAAACATATTCGCTGTGGTTTTTGGATCAAGCCCTTGGAGGAACCTTCTAAGAGGACCAGAAGGTTCATTAGAAGCTTGTGAATGTTCTAGCCAAGGACTTTGCTTCCACGCCACGTTACCGTCACAACCAGCACTGACTTTACAACCTGAAACCACAAGCTCTAAACTCCATTGACTCGAACCTTTCTTCCATAACACGAAACCACCCATCTCTCCTCCGTTTCCGTTGTTGACGTTTCTGATCCTCACCATCTTCTTCTTCCTCTTTCCAATTAGGGTTTTCGCTGCACAGAACTCTGTCACTCCCATTTTAACCTTCCCCATCGCGTACATGCTCTCTACTCCAGCCAATGCAGCCTCTCCTCCAGCTGCTGCTGTGTATTGCTTCACTATGTACTTTGCCATGGCTGCTTCCTATTATAACACAAAAACAGAGCAAAAGTAATATTAGGAAACTTGTCGCTCAAGTTAACACTAATTTATGCATTTACATACATGAAATTAATTTGCTTCGAATAAAAATATAATTGTATTCAGAAAAAATAAAACCAAACAAAAAAATAAAGTCTAAATTTATAAAAAAGTGTATTTATTTATTTTCTTTAAATAAATTATATTTTACTTTGAATAAATATAATTATATTAAAAAAAAACTTCCAGATCTAAACTTTTTGAGGTTTAAATGAGTATATTTATTTAAATTTTTTCAAATAAAAATATAATTATATTCATAAAAACAAAAGCAAACAAACAATCAGGTTTAAATTATTTTGTGGTTTAAATGAGTATATTTATTTGCTTACAATAGATTGGTTCTTGATGAGTTTGGAGATAGGGTGATCAAGAACGTCAAGATCAGAGGAGACAGGAAGAGGGATCAACGGAGCTCCAACAATTCCAAGAAGCATCTGAATCTGAGCGTCACGGCCACCGAATAGAGTGGAGAGGCTGCTATTGTTATCCGGCGGTGACCGGAGCAAACTAGACTTGACACTTCTCCAAGCGCCGGTCTTGTTGTTGTCGGAACAAAACAACTCCTCAGGCATTGGAACTTCCAACACCGTCTCTAAACCATCTTCTCTGTCGAAGTTAGGGCAAAGCGTTCTCATGTTTCCACTCTTTTAACAAATCTTGAAATAAACGAAGAGAAGAAGAGAAGGTTTGAAATATTATGAGATGTTGAGTGGTATAAGCTTATGGGTTGGCTCTTTATATATATGAAAATATTATTAGAGAAATAGAGATGACCAACCGACCGAAGCCGATCTGATGCTATTTGTGTATTGTCGTGTTCGCACGCTTCATGTTTTCCCTTTGCTCTCTCTATGACAATTTAATATTATGATAAATAAAAGTAATATATATTTCCACTTAAAGGAAGAGAAATGCATTTTCTTTTTGTCGTGGAGGAAGAAATACATTTGAGTTTTGTCCTATCCGCTTAACAAAATATTATTGCCTAGAAAATTAGGGTTAAACCGTTAAAGTAATGTGAAGCTTTTAAATTTTAATTGGTGAAAAAGGTGCACCTCA